AAGACTGTAAATGTGTCCTCCGCTTGAGTCTGTTCCGGCTGGCTGTCGGGGTGCGTGCTCTCCCCGTCGGCATTTGTGCTCGTCGTATCTGCGTCACGTTTGTTATTGTCGTCGTCTATTTCATACTTCTCCAAAAAGTCCGTAATCTTCTCTAGCTTCGCTTCCATGGACTCTTTTCTGACGGTCAGATTCTTGAGCTCTGAATCCAGACCGACGACTATGTCGGGTAGCTTGCCAAGCTCCGCGACGTGCTCCTCTTGCTTCTGTCTCAGCTCGGCTATCTCCAAGAGGATGTTCTTCATCTTGTCCCCTAACGAGGAAATTTCCGTCTCGGAGTTCTGAACTGTCTGCAAAGATCCGTGCATAGTGTGAACGGCGGCCACCATGCGTTGGACCGCGGCCTCTGCACGTTCCTGGAAGTTCTCGGGCTCCAAATCCTTGGCTTCCTTTGGCGGATCCTTGCCAGCTTCATCTTTGGGCTTGCTTTCCTGCTGTGTTGGTTCTATTGGATCTTGTGGTTGTGCTGTGGCCGTATGCTTTTTGTCATTATTGCGGTCTGACCTCCCGTTGCCGCTGTCCTCCTCCATGAGACTGGCCCTGGCCTTCCTCCTCCTGCGCCTGATCTCTTCTTCGCTGCGCTTGTTCTCTTCTTCGCTGCCGCTGTCCTCCTCCTGCTTGGCCCTTCTCTTGTTCTGCTGGTTCTGCTGTATGATGTACATGTAGCCAATGGCTACAATTGCCAAAGCGAGCAACACCTCCGTGAGCGGCAGCTCCACCATGATGCAAAGGGCTATGAAAAGCGTACTCCTTTGGGAAGCTTGAGATAGTTCTGCTGTCAGACGGGCGCACACTCACTGCATCACACAGCCATGGACTGCACATGCCGCACTGTTCCTGAAACTGTCATGTCCGTCTGAAGCACCGAGCTTAAAAGTGCCACTGCCCAGCCTCCAGTGAGCATGTTGGTGTGCTCGTCCGTCGCGCTTCTAGGTGAGGAGTACGTAGGCCTTTCGTGCTAGAGACATCACCGCCGAGCTCAAGACGTGCCACTTCCCAGCCTCCAGTCAGCATGTCCCCTTTATCATCCCAGTAGGTTCAAGGTGCAGGAGCGGGTACCTACCAGTCCTGCACCATGAACCTTCTGGGATGATGTAGCCACCGTCAAGGCCTTCTTGCACCTTAGTGCAGGTCGTGTCGCTTTCGACCTGCACCACACATCCGCAACAGCAAGAGTGACATGATGTCGCTCTTGCTGTTTCGGATCTTCCATGTGGCAGTCGGTCCTGCTTGCAGGTCTCGAGGAATGCGTTGACCTTTCGTGTCAGAGACATCACCACCCACCGTGTTTAAGAAGTGTCTGTCACTTAAGTGCAAGCACCGAACAGGCCGCCCAGCACAGGGGGGTTGGGGGGGGTGGGTGGGTTTCTCGGTGGGTGGTTGATGGATGGGTGGGGCGGTTAGGTGGCTGGGTGAGGGTGGGTGGGTGTGAATCAGGGGTGCGGGAATTGGTTGGGGGACCGGTTCGTGGTGGGTGGTTTGGGGGGGTGGCGGGGTTGTCATGCAGCAATGCTCCCTGATGCATGCGACTTTTTCCGATGCTGCTCTTGGCTTCATGACCCATCCAGTCAGAAGTCCTAAGTCTTTCTAGGAACTTCACACGGCCACCGGGCCCATGCCCCTGTGCCGCCGCATCAACCATGGAGTTCGTCGTGTTCTTGAAACTGTAAGCGGATTCAGAATCACTAGATGTCAGATTGTTTTGGTTAAGACTCGAATCCATGGGGATGTCACGATCAGAGCCATCAGCTACGTTATGAAATCCGTTATTCCGTCTCACTGCTTACTGCGATAATCCGTCCTGTCGGATCTGGGCGAGCGGGATCGCTTTCCTTCCCGATCGAAGTCAGAGTCGGACTCGTCACCACCTGGAAGGTGCGAAGTTGGGGTCGCACAAGGTTGCGGTGATGAAACCAAGGCTCGGGCTGCGTGCGGGAGAGGTCGGGGTGAAAACGACCGTCGGGGACGTGGGATGCAAACTCTCCTGTCAGAGATGCGCATTTCACTGACTGAACAACTGACAAATGAACTGTCGGGCCAAGCCTTACTGTCCTTGAGCTTCTCTTCGTTGTCTTGCTGCGCCGAGCTCGCGGGTTCCTGCAAGCGGAGTCGTAGCCGGAGCCGCAGGACCTCATCCTCTTTCCTTGCCAGTGTCTGTCTCCAAAGCCCCGTTGCAGTGAGGACTTTCTCTTTGTACTTGACCTGTGCATCCTCGAGCCTCTTCAACCTGCTCTTGAACTTGTTTGTCATGTCCGTCTGGGCTTTGGAAACCTTCTCGTCGAACTTTTTCTTGTTCTCTTCTTTCTCTTTCGCCATCTGTGCCTGGTGCTCGGCGTTCATCTCTTTGATTTTGTTCTCATACATGGCAGTCAGTACCTTCATCTCCTTCTGGCTATCCTCGAACTTGTACCTGTACGTATCTTCCGTGATGGACAGCCTCTTAGCCCTTTCCTGGTTGTTTCTCTCATACGTGTTCTCCAGTTCGTCCAGCATGTCCTCGCCTTTCTTCTTTACAGCTGCCAGTTCGGCCTCGTGCTTCTTATTGTCGTCCGCAATCTTCGCCTCGTACATTTTCTTCGTCCAAATCGCTTCCTTCTCAACCTCCCTCAAGCGTTCGATTTCCATGCGGTCCTTGTTATGCGTCATGATGGCGAGCTTGTTGAAAGCCGAATCCTGCTCTCCGTGTGCTCCACCTCATTCTTCCATTGGTTGTACATCTGTTGCAACCTTCTGTTGCAGAGGCGCCTGATACCGCTGAAGTCATTGGCTGATCGAGTGCTGCTTGTTCTTCTCAGCTTTCTTCCACTGAACTTTCCATTCATCCGGAAGGGGTCGGAGTTCCTTTGTGAAGCCTTGCTTCGTTGGGTCCGTCTCTGTGTCGTCGTGGCTTCCTGCAGGGTTTTGACTTCGACGCCAAGCCGCCCATTCCGCGTCGGTGTACACTTGCTCAGTCATGGCGCTAGTGGCGCCAAGAAAAAACGGTGCGATTTCCTTGAATCTTGAGATGAAAAGCTGCTGCAGTCCAACATGTTGAGCTTGGAAGCAACCGACGGTGCAGCAGTCAAGTCTTGGTGTGGCTTAGGCCGGGGCTCTTCGAGGATCTCGATGCGCAGACTGTCTCAGCCTGGTTGGCCGGCGACAGACGGAAAGTGAGCAGAGAGATACTGAATCCATGCATGACTTTCCTGCCTCTTCCTTCCCTCACATCACTCCTTGCTGCCTGCTCATTCCTCGCATCTACAGTCACACCCTCATCTTGATCATTCCTTCTTCCTTCCCTGCTTCCTTCCCTGCTTCCTTCCTTCCTTGCTTCCTTCCTTGCTTCGTTAATTATTTTCGCTGTCTCTCTCTCTCTCTCTCTCTCTCTTTCTTTCTCTCTGCATCTGTCTTTGAGGATCCGGCTCACCCCTGCTCGGGGTTCATCCTCACCCCTGTTCGGGGTTCATCCACACCCCTGCATGGGGTTCTCACGACCCCTGTTCAGGGTCCAGGCTCACCCTTTTCGGGGTTCATCGGACGCCCCTGTGCGGGGCTCTAACGACCCCTGTTCGGGGTCCAAGCTCACCCCTGTTCGGGGTTCATCCACACCCCTGCACGGGGTTCTCACGACCCCTGTTCGGGGTCCAGGCTCACCCCTTTTCGGGGTTCATCCACACCCCTGTACGGGGCTCCGACGACCCCTGTTCGGGGTCCAAGCTCACCCCTATTCGGGGTTCATCCCGCAGCCCCTTCAAGGTGCTTACGGGGCTCCGAAGACCCCTGATGTGGCGACCTGACATCCTGACAGAGCCTGCGCGAATGCCTAATTACAACTACTTTTGCCTGCTACCTTTAAACTTCTTTCCTGATCAATGCCTCCTTACCTACATGCCCGCCTACCTAGCTATCTAGAGACCTGGAAGCCTGCCGGTGCACCTAGACCTACAAGTACCTCCCTCCTGCCTATCTACTTATCTATACCTACCTGCAGGAGTGGGTGGGCGGGTTTGGGGGTTGGGTGGGATTACAGTTTAGGGTCCAGGGTTTAGGGCATGAGCTGGACGTTACGAAAGCTTAGATTCCCTTCATGTTTAATCATGAACACACACACACACACACTAATTTTCAAGTCGTTGTGAATCGTACAAAAAGCTGACTTTAGGGTTTCAGAACACAAAATCTCAAGCTTCTTGTTTTCGTTGAGCCACAAGAACACCAAGTTGCATTTGTTTGGTTTGCTCGGCACAAACGAATCTTCAAAATAACTTCAAAAATATCTTGCTGCCCCCCCCCTTCAGCACGACATCAGACATGTTGCTTTACGTGTCCTATATACACGTGTTCTGACATGTCCATCATGTCAGCAACAAGTGTCCTATATACACGTGTTCTTACATGTCCATCACACGTGTTCTTGCATGTCCATCATGTCAGCAACACGTGTCCTATATACACGTGTTCTTACATGTCCATCATGTCAGCAACACATGTCCTATATACACGTGTTCTTACATGTCCATCACACGTGTTCTTGCATGTCCATCATGTCAGCAACACGTGTCCTATATACACGTGTTCTTACATGTCCATCATGTCAGCAACACGTGTTCTATATACACGTGTTCTTACATGTCCATCATGTCAGCAACATAAATCCTAGGACCCGGTTCCATAACGGAAAGGACCCGGTTAGCCCCGGACTGGCATATGTGAGATTGGGACTTTTCTCGCGCAGGCAGGTGCTCTGGGCTTTTCGTGCATACGCAGCTTTCCAACGAAGCTACAGGGAGGTCCGGAAGCGTGGCCCTGTGCATCGCAAGCAGCTGTAGCACAAACGGCTGGAGGAAGCACAACGGGCCGAGTACAACAAGGACACCCGCCTCCTCTATCAGGTGATCAGGGACATTGCACCCAAAATGCAAGGAGGCCGTGTTCGCATACGGTCGGAATCAGGTGAGGCGCTGATGGCTGAGGAGGAACACGCCGAAATCTCTGCTTACTTCCGGCAGCTCTTCAGTTTGCATCCACACGACATCGAACCCTTGCCCAGGCTGGATCCCTTGATCTTGACTGAGGGTGAGATCCTCTCTTCGCTTGGGAAGCTAGGCAAGGGCAAAGCGGTGCCTGCGCTTCACGCACCTTCTTCAGTCTGGCGACATTGCAGGCAGCAACTCTGTGGGCCGCTGACTGAAGCGTTTCACAATGAAACGACAGCGGGTTACCCCGGCAGATGGGCGGATTGCAATTTGGCACTTATTCCTAAGCCAGGTAAGACGATCAAGAGACCGGAATCTCTTAGACCGCTGGGGATACAAGATGCTGCAGGTAAGGCAATAGCTAGGGTCCTCAAGGAGAGGTTGTTTGTTCAGATCAGGGAAACACTGGAACAATACCCTCAGTTCGCCTACTTGTGCAATCGATCTGCCCAAGATGCCATACAGCGGGTGACGGAGCATTGCAGATTGGTTCGGGGAAAGGTGGAACAAGATCGACACAACATCTATCATAAAAAGTCTGGCAAGATTCGCCACAAGTACGTTGGCGGAGCTCAGCTGGCTTTAGATATGACAACTGCATTTGATCGATGACCCCGGACGGCACTGCAAGATGCGTTGGAGTGGGCGCAGGTAGACTCGAATCTCGTCTCTATGATTCTAGAGGTGCACGGTGCGTGTCGGTACAGGATAGAGCACGAGGGTTTCGTCTCCTTTGTTGACATGTCCAATGGGGTGAGGCAGGGATGTACCCTGGCACCTTTGCTATGGGCTCTGTTTAGTGTTTATTTGCTACATCGGATCGAACTTCGCTTGTCCAGCCAGTGGCCGCGGGATTCGATGACTCTGTATGCCGATGACACACACTGTGCTTGGAATCTGGAGAATGCTCAGGACCTTGCCTTTTTCATTCAGAGTGCTGTTGCTGTGCTTGAAGTATATCAAGAATACGGCATGAAGGTCAACACGGAAAAATCTGCGCTCATCATAAGGCTGGTAGGAACACATGGGGCAAGGTGGCTAAAGAAACACACTGAGATGATCAATGGCAAGCCTCGTTTTCTACTGGCACACGGGCTGCAGTCCTTCCGAGTTCCCTTGGTGCAGAAGGTGAAGTATCTTGGTATCATCATCTCATACAAGAACTTCGAATCTGCTTCAGTAAGGCATAGGCTGCAGGCCGGGGGGCTGACGAGGCAACGAATGGCAAAGGTCCTGCACTCGTCCAGATATCTTTCCATTGGCCAGCGACTCAAGATCTACAGTGCATGTGTACGCTCTACCATCCTCTACGGAATACAGCACATGGCACTTTCAGAAAAAGATCGTCTACTCATTTATCGTCGTGATGTTCGGTATGTTAGAGCGATCGCCAAGTCGCCGGTGCACATCACCAAGGAGCCCACAGAGGCACTGTTCAGCAGACTGAGCCTGAAATACATCATGGGTGCACCACCTCAACCAGCTACAACAAGTTCAAAGCAAGCGGTGTGCACTCGAAGCCAATCTCATGGTGCTGCCTTAGTTGATGTCTTACCAGGCTTTCAAAACGGTATGCCTGCCCGACCTGTGGTTTGTATTATCCGTCCAGACACATACTCAAAATTCATCATGCCAGAAAGCATGGACGCAGCTTGGGCACGCAAGCCAATCGCGGCGACAAGGCGTATCGTGCACTCAACATCTCGAAGCATTGTACAGACGGGCTACCCAAGTGTCGGCACTGTGGAGTTGCAATGGCAGGATGGCAGGAGTTTCGAATGCATATCCTAAATGCTTGTCCGGAACTGCATGCACAAACGGAGGAAGCTCCAGCCACCCAGATGGCTGTAGAGAGACCTGCTTTGCAGTTCGCTGCGGGGTCTCTCTCCACTGTTCCTGTGACCGTGGAAGCAGGTGCTACTCTTGTTTCAGAGCGAGAAGATGTGCTGCAGGTGCTCAGGAAGCCCAGGTGGTATGCTGCGCTCGAACTTGCAGGGGTTAGGGAAGCCTTGAGAAACTATTGTGCTTTTTGTGGGAAGTGGTTCTCAAACAAGAGCGGCTCCTTTGAGAATCATCTCAGATCTGCACATCCTGGCATCTACTCGCGAAGAAACGAGGTCAAATCGGAGTGTCGCACGGTTGCCTTAGTTCGCTCGAGTTCTTGTACGGCGTGCGGTGCAGAGTTTGCGAGGACCACCAAGCACCAATGTACGGTCCTGCAGCATTTGGCCTACCTGAGAGCAGACACGTGCCCACAGGCTACGGTGCAGAGTCTGTTGACGTCCTCTTTCGAGAATGGCAGGACGATCCCCGCTCCAGGAGATGACGGAGTGCTTTCAGCACATGCAGGAGATGGAGGTGGATGCATCGCTCGGGAAGCGAGAAGCCCCGACTGTGACCGCAAACCGGGCGGAGCAGGAGGGGGAGCCACAGCCGAAGCACTCTCGGCCACAGTCGAAAGGCCAAGGGGGGCAGGGAAAGGGCGGACGGGGAACAGCTCAGGAAGCGGCGGCTCCCTCCAGTCCTGGTACAGCTGCGCGGAACGTGGCTCCGGATCAGCCAGTGGATCCGCTGGTGGCAGCGGCAGCAGCTTTTGGAGACCGCGGACAGCAGCAGCCAAAAACCCCGGAGAACCGGCACCAAGGGCATCCGACGAAGCAGCAGGGGAGGCAACAGCAGGGTTGGAAAAACAACCAGGGCCAGCGCCGCGGCTGGAGCTCCTACACATGGGGCGGACAGCGGAAGCAGAAGGAGGAGCAGGCCTGGGAAGACAATCTGAGGCTGTTGGCCAGGCTCTGTCTTCGCCACGAGGACGAACTGTCCCAGACGAGAGTGGAGCGAGACTTCATTCTTACGATGGAGACTCAGGAGGCGGCGGTCCTCACCAAGCTCTACAAGCTGGCGACGGTGTGGAAGGAGCGGAAAGAGCGGCAGGAAGTGGACTGCTCGCTGAGGATCTGCTTATTCCTTGGGCTGCTGCAGGTCTGGCTGGAGAGGATGCGGGCTCTGGAACAGACCAGTCCGGAGGCCGAGGCGCTGCGAAAACGAATCATGGAGCAGGGCTATGCGCAAATGCCGGAGGGAACCACGGAGCTACAGTGGTTCTACATGAGGTGGAATCACCCCACACAGGCAATGGAGAAGGTGCCTGATGTGGAGCCCATGCTGCAGAGCCAGGTGGTGTCCAGCTTGATCCAGCTGCAGGCGACGATGGTGGCACCGAATGCCTTGCTTCGCTTTCACTCCACGAGGCGGATGGCGGCGGAGTACGCGGGGGAGACTGTCACGTTTCTTTTGACGGTCGGCCAGAGGGACACCATGGCAGCTCAGGCATGGGGGATGCTCACCAACTTGTGCGGCAACGGCTCTGGAAAGGTCATCGGGCTCAAGATGAAGCCGGCCAAGATGGATCGTCAGCCTCTCGCCAAGATCGTTGCGGAGAGATTCCCTCCTCCTTTTTCGTCGAGCCGAGCAGCAGGATCCCAGAATCGGGAGGCCGAGGCAGAGGATCAGCAGCAGCGGGAGAAGGAGGAGCACAACTGAAGCTTTGGTCGCGGTTCTCCTACAAGTTAGTCAACCGGTCCAATGTACATGAATGCCTGTTGCTTACTTTTGTTTCACATGGGACAGAATACGAACAGCAGAGCAGCATTTGGCAGGATTGAGCGGGCAATGCGATGTCTACAAGGCAGTGGCTCCATTTATCTTCTTTCTTTTCTTCCATGGCTACGGCTGCTGACAGGATGGGAGGCGCTTCATCAACAGCATGATGCCGTCGAACTCATTTCTTTTGTCCTTGGCAAGTCTGAGCCTGAAGCTTTGTGGAGGTTGGGAATCCCGACTGCAAGAGGAGGGCTCTGAACTCGTTGTTGACTCAGGCAACTGCCTCACTCCGATTGCGATTGAAGTGGCAGGACCGAGTTTGCAGCATTGTGTTCACGACTGGCATGCACAGCACAGCATACAGGCCTTATCGAGGATTCCAGGTTTGCTGTTTTTACAACTTAAACGGTTTCGGGAATCCACTGCAGGGACAGTCAAAGACTTCACAGACGTGCAGATTCCAGTTGGCACCATGGTTCGAATTCCGACTTTCAACAACAGCACAGATTTGACATGGAGATCCACACTGTTCAATATGAGGTTGTTGGCGTTGTCTATCACCTCGGTGACAGATTGTTGACAGGACACTATCGAGCTGCTCTGAGTGCTGCCTCTGGTTCGGATGGCAATCGCTGTGCCTACCACGTCACAGATGACAACACATCCTTACAGGAGATTGGCGCCAGCAGTTCTGATGTTGATAAGTGTGGATATCTAGTTGGGCTCAGAAGGATTGCTTAAAGTTCCACGTTTTTGTGCACAGAAGTTCTTCAATTGCAAGAACGAGTCGGTGCGGGGTCTGCTTGGTGTTTCGACACGAGGCTCCGCCCTTTTACGAGTTTTGACTAGTTTCGACTGTGCGATGCATAGCTGCTATCACCAACCTGGTGTGGAGCAGCCGAATCGAGTAATCGATTTGGTCGGCCGGACGCTTAGCTGCGGATCTCGCTGCTGCGATGCAAAGTGCAAAAGTGCAAAAGTGCAAAAGTAGTAGTAGTAGTAGTAGTAGTAGTAGTAGTAGTAGTAGTAGTAGTAGTAGTAGTAGTAGTAGTAGTAGTAGTAGTAGTAGTAGTAGCAGCAGTCGTCGTCGTCGTCGTAGTAGTAGTAGTAGTGGTAGCAGTATTGTAGCAGCAGCAGCAGCAGCAGCAGCACGAGGAGCAAGCGCAGCGGTAGCCGTAGCGGTAGCGGGCAGCAGCAGCAACCTTTACCCCGCTTAAGCCACCTAGGTTTCGGTTCTATCCCTGCTCCCCTGCCCTGCCCGGTGGTCCTCGCCGGCGCCGCGGTCGACGCTGAGTTGCCACTGTCGGGCAGGTCCTGTCGAGAGGCGGAGGCACTGGCCCGGGAGGGTCCAGTGAAGCGGTTAGGCCTCGTGATGTAAGGATCACGGGGCTCCTCTTCAGCTTGCACATAGGCTTGTGCTGCGTCTGCCTCCCATACAACCGACCTATCTACGAAACCACCCTTAGGGTTTCCCTTAGGGGTCGGCTCGACTGGATTAGGGGTCTTAGGGATATTTTGGTTTTGGCTCGACGACGAGGATGCCTGGGCGTTCCTCGGAGAGGATGCTTGAGCAGTCCCCTGTGGGGGCGAGGAGGCTTCCGCCTTCCACTTGGCCGTAGAAGCGGCGAAGTTCTTTCGGCGGACGTATCCATCGTGTTACTGATAAAGCAGCTTGCTGCGGACGGGGCTATGCAACTTCTCTCTCTCCCTGTGTCTCTCTCTCTCTCTCTCTCTTTCTCTCTCTCTTTCTCTCATTCTCTCATTCTCTCTCTCTCCCTCTATCTGAAATCTTTTTGAGTTCCGGGAGCCCGTGGACCCGCGGACCTGGCTTTGCAAGGCCAGAACTGTGGCGTTCTGGCACGTCACCTCCACCTCCACGTCCTGTCAGCTTTGCTTAAGAGCTCCAAAAAAAGTTTTAAAGCTTTGACCCATTTGCAGTCCTAGAACATCCCCTGGTCTTTTGATTGCAGCAGCCTATGTCTCCCACCAATAACCCAAGTGACAACGGGTCTTGTCGATGCTTTGGATAAATCACCATGGTCGCAAGCGGAGGCCAACGAGAGTTGGCAGGAGCAAACGAACGAGCGGACCGCAGCGGAGGTTGAGGAGGTTTACGGTTATTGATATGGTGTCTGTGGCAGTGCCTGCAAAATCCCAAATCGTGACAAGTGGCGGAGGCTAGTTAGTTTATTCTAAGAGAAACAAACTTTAGCAAGAAGTTTATTTCCAGGGTTTAAACTATTAAACCAACTAACTCGTCGGGATGGAGTTTGTTTTTCTGAAAGAAACTAACTAATATGCCTCGGTGGAGGGGTTCTGGGGGGGGGTGGGGGGGGGGGAGAAACTAACTAACTCGCTCGGCCGGGGTTTGTTTCTTCGAGAAGAAACTAACTCTGGGTGGAGGAGTTTGTTTCTCCTACAGAAACAAACTCTGGGGGGAGGGGTTTGTTTTCAGAAAGAAAAACAAACTCTGAAGGGCGGGGGGGTGCAGGGCAGTTTGAAACTAACTAACTCGCTCGGCCGGGGTTTGTTTCTTCGAGAAAAAACTAACTTTAGGTGGAGGAGTTTGTTTATCCGACAAAAACAAACTCTGAGGGGACGGGTTTGTTTTCAGAAGGAAAACAAACTCCGAAGGGCGGGGTGGTGGGGAGTTTGTTTTTCCTACAAAAAACAAAGGCGGCGCGTGGGTGCATGGGGGTTTGATTTTCCTACAAAAAACAAACTCTGGGGGGAGGGGTTTGTTTTTCCTACAAAAAACAAACTCTGGGGGGAGGGGTTTGTTGTTCCTAAGAAAACCAAATTTTGAAGGAGGGGGCGAGGGGGTGCAGGGGAGTTTGTTTTTTTATATAAAAAACAAACTCTGGGGGTAGGGGTTTGTTTTCAGAAGGAAAAACAAACTTGAAACTCCGGTTCGACGAGTTTGTTTCAGCGGGTACAAACAAACTCCGACCAGGTGAGTTTGTTTCAGCGGTGAGAAACAAACTCCGAGGGGAGAAGTTTGTTTGGTTAAGTGACGCTAGGGGTCGGCGCGGGGGTGCATGGGGGTTTGATTTTCCTACAAAAACAAACTCTAAAGGAGGGTTTTGTTTTTCCTAAAAAAACAAACTCTGGGGGGAGGGGTTTGTTTTTCCTAAGAAAAACAAAATTGGAAGGGGGGGGGGGGTGCAGGGGAGTTTGTTTTTCCTACAAAAAACAAACAAACTCTGGGGGGGGGAGGGTGGGAGTTTGTTTTTCCTACAAAAAACAAACTCTGGGGGGGAGGGGGGGAGTTTGTTTTTCCTACGAAAAACAAACTCTGGAGGGGGGGAGTTTGTTTTTCCTACGAAAAGCAAACTCTGGAGGTAGGGGTTTGTTTTTCCTACGAAAAACAAACTCTGGGTGGAGGGGTCTGCTTTTCCTACGAAAAACAATCTCCGATGGGAGAAGTTTGTTTGTTTAAGTCACGCTCGGGGGACTGGGAAACTAACTGACTCGCTCGGGCGGGGTTTGTTTTTCCTACAGAAAACAAACTCTGGGGGGAGGGGTTTGTTTTCAGAAGGAAAAACAAACTCCGAAGGCGGGGTGCAGGGGAGTTTGTTTCCTACAAAAAACAAACTCCAGAGGGAGGGCAGGTTGTTTTTCATACAAAAAAAACAAACTCCAGAGGGAGGGCAGGTTGTTTTTCCTACAAAAAAACAAACTCTGGAGGGAGGGGAGTTTGTTTTTTCCTACAAACAACAAACTCTGGGGGTAGGGGTTTGTTTGTCCTACCAAAAAACGAACTCTGGGTGGAGGGGTTGGTTTTTCCTACGAAGAACAAACTCCGATGGGAGAAGTTTGTTTGTTTAAGTGACGCTAGGGGGAACTGGGGGGAGGGGATTATTTGGCCTACAAAAAACAAACTCTGGGGGGGGAGGGGTTTGTTTTTCCTACTGAAAACAAGCTCTGGGGGGAGGGTTTTGTTTTCAGAAGGACAAACAAACTCCGAGGGGAGTCGAACAAACTCGGAAGATGGAGGTTGTCTTACCTACAAGAAGAGCCGCACGAAATCGTTTCAGGGGGGTTAAAAGCGAAGAATAAAGTAAATACTAACCAAGAATTAATTGAACACGTTGTCTCCAGCACGAAGAATTCAGCCACACGAAATCGCTTTCGGGGGTTAAAAGCTAAGTAAATACTTAATAACCAAAAATTAATTGAACACGTTATCTCCAACACGAAGAATTCAGCCACATGAAATCGCTTCCGGGGGTTAAAAGCTAAGTAAATACTTAATAACCAAAAATTAATTGAACACGTTATCTCCAACACGAAGAATTCAGCCACATGAAATCGCTTCCGGGGGTTAAAAGCTAAGGAAAAGGGAAAGACTCCGAAAGCTTGTTTTTCGGTGTTTAGACTAAACCGTTAGACTAAGCCCTAAACCCTACAAGAAGAAGAGCTGCACGAAATCGTTTCAGGGGGTTCAAAGCAAAGAAAATTCCTACTTTATAACCAAAACTATTTGAAAACGTTATCTCCAACAAACCCTATAAGAGGTTTGTTTTTCATGTCTAAACTAACTTGCGTCTGCCCTATTTGCTAATCGTCAACCCTAAACCCTAAACGCTGAACCTTAACCCTAAGATGTGCAATATCATGCTCCTGCCTCTTAAGCCACGTGGGCTGACAACTATCATTGTGTTTGATGATATATTGTAACATAGCTACCCTAAACCCTCTACTGAGTATAGCCCGGTGTAGCAAATGACTTCGGTCTCTTTCTTTTCATGTCCTTGGCCCAGTTTCCGAGAAACGAGAGGAGCCGCTCATCTTTTAGGGCCTTGCAAAGCATCTGGTTTTTTTGAGGGTTTCCGGAAATAGGGGACCCTAACATAGTACCCTAAATAGTCGGATCCTTATGATATGGGCTCCAAAATACAGTGCTCCTAACTTTCGGAAACTCCCATTTCAGAAGCTGC